TTTTTTGTTGGCGGATTTGGATTTTTTGTTAGCGGATTTGGATTTTTTTGTTGGCAGAGCTGGATTTTTTGTTGGTGGATTTGAAATTTATAGTGTAACACTAGAAATGTGTTTGAATGATATTCACAAACAACAGTCAGTCAGACAGAATATTTGAGAACACCAGGCGGGCTGGCCTTAGTAATTAAGGGATATCACCTTTTAGAAGTAATGACCACAGATTGACCAAGGGTCAGGTCAGGTCAGGTCAGGTGACCTTGCCTTCTGCAAAGCCGATAATTGCAGACGGCTGGCTGGGGTGTATCCTTCAGGCGCACCGCTGCCTAGGGTTTTAGGTAGAGAGCCTGAGGCTATCTTACTGGTGGGCGGGGTTTAGCTTCAAGATTTCCCATAAATACCCAGGGGAACTGTACATTCGACAACATTAGACAAACCAGATAGAAACACAGCGGATCGACGGTCGAGCTGGAGCGAGCCCACAGCCAGCCCTGCCAGGCCAGATTCACGAAAGCACTTACGCAAACAAAAACGAACCTGTACACCTTTTCTCAAATATTTGGCGGCTTTGTTTACAATTATTAAACAGTTAATAAGCTCCGAAGCACCAGGAGGCTGTTTATAACAATAACAACAGTTGAATGGGAAGATTTCATGCTTGTAAACTGTTTAATAAATGTAACCAAAGCCGTCAAAGATTGAGGAAAGATGTACACGTTCGTAAGTGCTTGCGTAACTGCTTCGTGAATCTGGCCCCTGGATCTCAGGGTGGGTAGGGAGACTGACTGTCAAACGAGCCCCCCCACCCCCTCCTCTCTATCTTAACCTAGTCTCCGTCCCTCGGGGAGTTAGGTTAGGTTAGGTTAGAACTTAAGGTGACGTATTTGTGTTTCCCAAACTTTGGTGTTGTGTGATTAACAGGGACAGACAGTCGTAATGTTCTCAAATTCTTGAGTAATGACTCGCATTGTATTGAAATCTTGACATAGTGAACATTAAGTTGAATTGTTGAATTATGATACTTATCATGTTAAATATAATTGATGAATTTATTGTTCAAATTGTCTTTAATTTTGTTCCCTAGAGCTTTGTGTGTTGAGGCGAGAGAGCCTCTGAGTTTACTGACTTTAAGATTTTAAACGCATGAAAATAGTATGAGTGGAAATCAAGTTGATCGTTTTATGTACTGTACCGGAACAGCTGATCGAGATTATAAATTATCTAAGGTTTTCTTGGCAGACCTTATGTGCCAGGTTAATTTGGACCTTGGTCCTGGTAAATTTGTAGGTATGGAAGTTACTTTATGACTTCATCTTCCTACGAGATTCCTTGGGTACTAGAATTTCCTAGCCTAATTCTATCGATTTTACATAGAGGACTCGGTGTGGTCAATTATTACTGTCGAGAATAGTTCTGGGTCTACAGTGGGTTCAGGGGCTTGGTCGCTGTGATGTGCCGGTTTAGGCTGCTGACCGCTGATTATCCACTGAGTCATAGAAACATGTCGGCTGATATTAATTGTACCAGATTCAACCTGGGTTTATTTAGTCAGTTTTTTTTCTCCTGTATGCCTGTTGCTGGAGAATTAATTTCAGCTGATGGTTTAAATTTATTAATATTGATCGTTAGCAGGCATAGGCTTGTTCAGGTTTAAAATTTTACTTGCAAGTAGATAGTCTCCTTCTGATTTGAGCAAATTCATGCCCAGTTGTTTAACATGACCAGTAATAAACTGGTAATAGTAGTCTGCTCCAGCTAGTAGATTTACATCAATAAGGCGGTCAGACATTAATTTGTTGTCAGACAATTTAACTCCAATTTTTTGGTAGGAATCTGGCTATGTTCCCTAGACCCTTAATATTTAGGTTAAATGGGATTTGATCTAATACTGTGGCCTAGACAGACCTAATATAACCACCTATGCTTACTAGTGGTTGTACTACTGTATATTCTTGGGGTCCTCTATTTATCGTGAACCCTAAGAGGTTTAATTTTACCTGTGTTACTGGTTTTAATTTAAGTGCCTCTGCCGCTCTCTTGGTAATGAAGGTTTTCTGGGACCCTTGATCGAATAGGCCACGAATGGCAATCTTGGTCCCTCTATTCTTGACTTGGAGTTGGGCAGTGGGCGATATTGCATCAACTTGAGATGCTGGTGATTGTATGCTTTAAACTTCTCATACCTTGCAACACTACTTGTGTAGAATTTATATTAATTACTTTGGGATTTGAATAATTTTATTTAATAAATTTGCACAGTGATGTATGATGTCCTTTTCGGCACATATTGCAGGTGTTCAGTGGGGGCTGTCAGTAATATGTGGTTTGAGTCACCTGGTACATCTGTGTAACTGAGTCGTCTGACTCTGGTGTCTTTATTAGAATAATTTGTACAATGTATATAGAGAGGTTTTTGATGGCAAAACAGACATAACCCCCAGCCTACAGCATGCTTAAGGTTCAACGGTTTAGGTGAAACATTGTCTACAGCTTTTGAAGATTA